TCTCTCTATATGAGCACTTATTCTTGAGAGAAAGCAGGTGTCATTGTTTATCTGGTCTATTTACTGCAATGAAAGATGGAGACGTTGTTTAGGCAATGAGACGCAATACTGCTTAACTAAGGTAGATGAGCTGTCCCCACATGGTATGATTATGACTTACATGCTGTTAGTACCAAATTCCATGGAATCAGGATGGAGTGGAAAAGTAGGCATCAGGTGAGCTTGCTGCGCTGGCAAGATAGAAATAAATGAAATTATGTGCTTACTATTACTGGATCAAATCTGCATATCTGATCTCTGATACTAGCTGAAATCAACTATGTCACACACACAAAAATTTGCTAATCCTGTCACATGAGTAGATTAGAAATATTCTACATGGAAAACATCTCCAAGTGGTCATTTTAAAGTGAAGTGAGTACGTTCCTGGGAATCGTTCACTATGTATGCATTGTTTTCTGCTTTGCCAGACACAAAGACAACACGATTTCAGCTTGTGAAGGGCTCAGAGTTTTGTTGGGAAAGAAAATGATAAGTTATTTGACAAAAATACATAATTATATGAAGCACAGTGTGACATGTGGAAGTCCCTAAGTGGAAAACCCTGTTGGACAACCAGATTAAAAGGTGAAAGAGGTGGGACCTGGGTCTGACTCGGCCTTGGAGGACCGGCTTTGAGTTGGTATGGCAAGAGAAATCTTGAGTGGAGAGACAGTATCGGGTTAATGACAAATGGGCATGTTATGGACTGAAGGTAGACAGGTTGGCGAGAGCAGTGGATACAATGTTCAGAGCAATGGGATGTTTGGGGTATATAAGTTGAATCCAGTTTGCTAAAGGTCTTGAATTATTTTTCTATTGCTGTCATAACAAACTGTCACAAATTTAGCAGTTTTGTGTGACACAAAGTTATTATCTTGTGGTTTTGTAGGTCAGAAGTCCAGTGGGCTTGACTGGTTTCTCCCTTTTGAGCTCATATGGCCAAGGTTAAGGTCTGGTGTAGCTGGACTCTGGGGGAGAGCCCACTTCCAGGCTCACTCAGGTTGTTATCAGAGTTAACCTCCTGTGGTTCTAGGACTGAGGTATCGCTCTCCTTGCTGGCTGTTGGAGGGAAGCTGTCCTCAGCTTCTAGAGGTCACCTACATTCTTTGCTTGTGGTCCCTTTCCTCCATCTTCAAAGCCGACAGTGGCAGTCTGAGTCTCTTTCACACCTTGAATCGCCCCTATGCCTCCCTCTTCTGCTATGTCTCTCTGATTCTTCTGCTTTCGTATTCCTCTTTTAAAGGCCCATATGATTGATTACATTGGGCCTAATCAGATAATCTCCTAAACTCCCTATTTTACGGTCTGTAAGCTTAATTCCATATGCAAAGTCCCTTGTGCCATGTAAAGAAATACAGTCGGGTTCCAGGAATTGAGTGCCAAAGCTGAGGAGTTTGAATGGGATCCAAAAGGTAACTGAAAAGCACTGTAGGTCCTTAAACAGAGGAGAGGTATGTGGGTACACAGGGCAGGCGGATGACATGGCTCTCCTTCAAACCAGTATTATTTAACTCTTCATGCAACATTAATTTAGAGGAGAGGCTGAGCAGAACATAGGAAAGGGAGGGGAAGAAGAACCACTAGTGGCTGTTTTTGGTCTCTCTTAGTTAGACCCAGGCAATTCTGCTCTGACCCAAACTTGTGAACTCCACTCCGTAAAAGAAAAGCCTTTAGAGCTAATTGTACTCACCCTCCTTAGAGGGTAGTTTATCTAACGCTTCCGTTGGGGGAGGCTCATTCTCCCCCAGCCTCATGTGGTTAATCCAATTCTTCATTTGATATATGTATATGTGTAACTGAATCACTTTGCTGTACACCTGCAACTAACACAACATTGTAAATCAACTATACTTCAATTAAAGAAATGTGGAAGGAAAAAAATTTACAAGATTTTTCTTGAGAGCTCTAAGGTAAATACTCTCCATCTCGTTACTTTTCCAGGGATGTCTGTGCCACCTGTTATCGGTTGACGCCTGAGGCAGCCACCCCTGTTGTACCCCTAGCCCTAAACTGGCTCTGGTGCCATCCATTCATTTATTCCCTCCCGAGCACTTACCTTGTGTGAGTACCATTCCAGGTGCTGAGGTTACAGCAGTGAACAAAGTCCCTTGTGCCCACAGCTTATCTTCGAGTAGGAGAAGAGAGTCAAGAATCAAATGAATATGTATCAGAAAATATGCAGAAAGTAACTAGTAGGTTAGGAGGAGAGAGAATGCTGGAGGAAGATGTAAAGTGGCATATGAGCAGACACTTGAAAGAAGTGAGGGCTTAACGTGGCTACCTGGTGCAGGAAGGTCTCAAGCAGAGGAAAGGGCAAGGGCAGTGACCCTGCGGCCAAGCAGAGGGAGCATATTTGGGCCACTTGCGGGAAGGAGGTGCGTCCGCATGGCTGCAGCAGCGAGAGTGAGTAGAGGAGGGTGTTGAGAAAGGAGGTCAGAGAGGTGTGAGCGCTGCCGTGGTAAAGTCATCTGTCACCCGTCTGCACTAAGCACCATTCTAAACCGGGCCTGTACGCTCTTATATGCTGTTTACTCCAAGATTTCAGTATGATTACTGTGCAGAAGGATTTATTTGTCTCAAGAAATTTGGACCAAAGAACAAAATAGCATATTTCAAGTTCTGGGTACGGATTGCTGTGAAAAATTAACTTGTTATGTGCATTTATTGACTATTGTTTATGACATAAACAAAGCTGCTCTTCTTTCTATAATAAGAAGAGTTGGTAAAATTGTACCTTTCTTATTTTCCACCCTCAGCATTATTATACAATAAAGAGCTGAATATATAATACAGTGCCGCGAGGGTGATGAACAGGATTCAATCACACATTTAAATGAATTAAAAAAAAATCTGAACCGTGTCCAAGTTCTCCCATCTAAGCATCACTTAAGAATCTGTTTGTTCAGTTGAGCTTCATCTCTGCAGCTGCCAAGCCACTTCAGTTCTGCCAGCTCGACTCTCTGATTGCAAAATAAAGGGTGGTCACTTAACCGTGGATGTGAAGAACACAAGTGTTCTGTGAAAAGAACGCCATGATGAGAAAACCTGATCATAGAAAACTGGAGGCTTCCCTCATAGGCACCCCCTTAGCCCAAGGGCAGTTGATTTTGAGGGGGTATTCTCACCTTCCCCACATCTAAGCAGTCTTTGGCGGGGTGTGTGTGCTTTTGGAAGATGGATGCACTTTGCTGCAGCTTACATTCATAAATATTTTTGTAGTATAATAGATTGTCAAAACAAATCTGTGTTTTCCATTTGTGTGTGCGTGAGTGTGTCACTACGCCTCTTAATCTTTTTGTCCATCTAGAGGTAGAGCACAAATAAGTTGCTTTCCTTATTGTGAATTTTCCCGTATGGTATAGATCTGTGCCAAAGGGCGTCATGAAGAACAGGTAAATAGATAGATGGCCATACGATCCGGGGAAACAGCTCCTCTGTCTTTCTTTTCTTTTTTTTTTTTTTTTAACATCTTTATTGGAGTATAATTGCTTTACAATGGTGTGTTCCTCTCTCTTTACTTTAGCGGTTCTCTGTCTGCACTGAAAACCCATTGTTGCTTTTAAACATTTTCAGTGGAAAATCCCCCCTGAAGCTTGGCATTAACTACATCATTGAACTGGTTGTTGTGCCTGTGAGAATAGAGTGTGTGTTCTGAGCACGGGCACTATTGCATGGCTTTTGAGTCAGGGAAGTGATAGACCTGGGTTGATGGCCATCCAGTCATATTAGCCGTGTGACCTTAGGTGAGTTCCTTAACATCACCGAGTCTCCATTCCTTAGTGTATAAAATGAGGGAAATGATGCCTCCATCCTAGGGTGGTTGTGAGAATGTAAATAAATTTCTCAGTGTAGTGCTTGCATCTGCTAAGGGCTCTATAAATGGTAGTCATTTTTATTATCATCATTTTTCTTTAGCTTATTTCATTTTGATGGCACAACAGGTAGACTTGGCATAAAGCTTCCTGGTGCAGTCTTCCTGGTGCATGGAAACGTAGGCCCCTGGAGGATAGCACATCAGACCCTGAAAGCCAACATACACCTTCCTTTGCATTTTTCACAATATTTTTCTCTCTTCAAGTAAACCTGGAGAAAACATTTTGCTGCTTGCTGCCTGAATTGGCCAGGAATTCTAGTTTCCAAGGAGATGGTAAATGGCTGTATCTGTGTATGCTGATTTGCCCCAACTTTAGAAGAATTCCTCAGGGAATTCTTCAAAGGAAACAGAACATAATGGAAATGCTTTTTCTTTTTTTATAAGCCATAGAAAATTGTGTGTGTGTGTGTGTCTGTGTGTGTGTGTGTCCTTACTGATCTAAAAGTTACTTGGAAGCAGTCAGGCAAAATGGAAAGATTTGCTAATGAAAGCCTTATCTCCCTATGATTGCAATTTTATATGTCCTTTCAAATTAATTTATCTGGGGTTTTGGCTATTTAGAAAAGCATTTAGTGCAATTCGGAATTGTAATTAGGATATGCTATACCATCTTCAGGGCTTGATGTAATTCTCTAGCTTCACTATGGTTACATCACAAAGGAGGCTGGAGCTGAAGTCTGTTTTTCTACTCTAGAAAACCCAAAAGCACCTGCATAGTGTCTGTCTTAGATAGGGATTCAATACTGGTTAATTGATAATAAAGGTTTCCTCCTGGTGCACAGTTTCCATTAGTGTTTGGGGTGAATAATTGTACATTAGTATTTGAAAAATTATGGGTGGCTGAGCAGAGGATGCAGCTTGCAAAAGCTCTTGGTTCTAATTCTAGATTGACAACAATGGCCCGTGTGACATTGACCCAGGCCTCTCATCTCTAAGTCTCTCTGTTTCCATTCAGTCAATTGTCAGATGGGATAATAAAACTGATATGCCTTCTAGCCTTATAGGGAGAATTGTTGCTGTGCAGTTTTTTACGTATTTAAATGCTGACAATTTAAATTAGAACCCAATGTTGTTCTTTTCACAGAACACTCATGCTGTTCCACATCCATGGTTAAGTGACCACCGTTTATTCTGCAATCAGAGAGTCGAGCTGGCAGAACTGAAGTTCCTTGGATCCAGGACTGACTGATCCATTCACCATTCAGCATGCATTTGTTCAGCACTGTGTGGCATAATGTGGTGTAAAGAATACGTGTTTTAGAGTTAAGAAAACTGGAGTTTGCATCCAGGCTCTCTCACTAGCTCTGTGATTTCAGTAAAATTACTTCACCTTTATGACATCTACGGCATGATGACATCTATGGACATAGGTTGTTGTGATGGATACCCAAGAATATGTAAGTGAAATGCTTGCACAGTGTATTGCTCTACAAACATAGCTTACTTTCCACCTACTACGTACACCATGCATCCCATGGCAGGAGATTAACGTAGTCCTTGTTCTCAAAAGAGTTTACATAATCTAGATGGGGGATACATAAAGAGGAATAATTATAACATTAAGAATTGTCCTGGCTTATCATGAAATTGGTCTGTGGGGCTTCCCTGGTGGCGCAGTGGTTGAGAGTCCGCCTGCCGATGCAGGGGACACGGGTTCGTGCCCCGGTCCGGGAAGATCCCACATGCCGCGGAGCGGCTGGGCCCGTGAGCCCTGGCCGCTGAGCCTGCGCATCCGGAGCCTGTGCTCCGCAACGGGAGAGGCCACAACAGTGAGAGGCCCGCGTACCAAAAAACAAAACAAAAACAACAACAACAACAACAACAACAAAAATGGGTCTGTGGCTAGTTGGGGTTGAAAGAGCAGGGGGTAACCAGGGTTCAACAAGGAAGTCTAAAGGAGACATGGTTGGCAGCCAAACTCAACTTCCTGGGCCGCAGCTACTCCTTTGCCAATGCCTTCTCCACCAATGGCTAAGTTGTAGTGAGACCAAAGAAGCTAAATCTTCATAGCTGTTTGCTATCAAGGAGATTATGTTTAGCTATATGTTAGCTGTGTTGGATTAAGTATTAGTAAAGAGTTTGTTTTCTCACCTACCCCTAAATAGATTAAATGACACATTAATGTGCTTCTAATTCCATTATCGTTCATATTTTTAATTCAGAATGTATGCAGTGGGCTGCGACTGCTGGGGGTGGTGTACCAGCCCCCACGAGCAGATTTGTTACCGCAGCATCTGCCACCCCAAATGCTAACTCCCAGGAACACCACTGCTTTGCAGTATGTTATATTTTACAAGACTCTGAGGAAAGAGAAACACAGAAAGATAGCGACAATCACTGTGGGGCTAGAGAGACAGAGAGCATAAGGTTAGAGCTAAAACTTCTAAAAAGCAACTGGAGTGTTGGAGAAAAGGAACAGAGGGAAGAATTGAATATATTTACCAAGGAATTAATGAACAGGCTAAAGGTATTTATGTAGGCAGAGAGCATATGGAAAAGGGGGAAATGAATCATGGAAGAAGGCAGCCAGTATTGCCGTACAATTTATTTCATCTTGAGACTTGTGTGTGTGTGTACATACACACATATGTGCACACACACAAGTTAACTTTTTTCACATATATGTGATTAGAGGAAGAAAAAGTTTCTAAGTCCAGTCCATACTATTGAGGGAGGAAAAATGTGTCTACCATGAGGTTGTGATGATGGTTAATGTTCTCTGTGGCACTATATCTAACCTATATCTTGTAGGGGAATTCTTCAGTAAATATGAAGAGAAAGCCATATAGCAAGGGGAGGGGTTGAAGAGAGCTGAGATCTGTATGAATATGGTAATCTCCTTCACTTCCTGGCACTTCTATTGCCCCCCACCCCCGCTTCCTGGATTCAGGACTTGCTGTCATGCCAAGTGATTGGTGGTGCCAAAGCCCAAATAGCTTCTGGTATCAGTGTCTCTTGCAAGGATTCCTGTAGAGGGAAATGATGAGCTTTGAGAGATTGTAGGTTTTAGAGCGTATGGCATGACAGGTTTGTAAGCTTCTGCAGCTTGGGGCTAGAGAGGTCAGGAGGGGAAAACAAATGTGTCCCTAAGTATTTCTGATAAAGACTATCTTGTTTCGTTAAATGAAAGTATAATGTTAAGGACAGAGTTAAGGGGAATACTTGGAAAAAGGGAGGGTGGGAAGAGGTAAAGCATACAGGAGGAGCCTGAGAATGAAACCAAAGAGAAAAATGCCAGGTCAGGCTCAGAGCAGTTGAATGAATAAGTGGCTGAACTGGAAGACATAAGAAAAGGGTCCAAGAAGGTAGGTCTGCACGCGGCCAGAGGGTGGAACTGTCCTGCCAGTCTGCCAATGGGAACCAGCTGAAGCTAGAGCTGGGCAGCCAGCACAAGGCCAGGAGTCAGAATAGCAACACCTGTGTTGTCGCTAGAGTGTGTTGCACCTGCAGGAACAAGGTCTGGAACCATACCTCCTGGCAGGGTGTCCTTTCCACAGCTACCTGAGCAAGCTTGTGTATCCATGCTATGCCCTGCTCAAACTTTGTATGTGGAAATGGTAATCCAGCAGAGAGTCTTGAAAAAAATCTCCTGACCGTAATGAGTCCATAGCTAACACCCTCCAGATATAAAGGGAAAACATAATAAAAGAAAGAATTTACACCCGAGGAAGTAAAGAAGTAGCAAAAACTGTAAATATATTTAATAACCTTGAGGAGATAAAGGAGTGAAAGCATGTATAAAACAAGAACAAGAGCTTATGAAGTAAGAATAAGATTCTTATGAATCCAGAAAAGAATATTATGGCAAAGAACCAATTTAATGAAAAATAAGGTCGTTGAAAGAACAAAACTAAACATAATGGACTGGACATAACTGAAGAGTGAATTAGTGAACCATAAAATTGAGCTGAAGAAAAACTAATGTTATCTAATATATATTGAGTGCTTACTATGTGCCAGGTATTATTCAAGCATTTACCATGTATTATCTCATTTAATTCTTACAAGAATTATATGTCCCCACTTTACTGATTAGGAAACCAAGACAAAGAGAAGATAAGTAATTTACCCAAAGTCATACAACTAGTCTTGAATTCAGGGAGAGCCCTTGTATTTAATCACTGCACTATAATACCAACTCTCAAAATTTCTCAAAATACAGCACAAAGAGATAAAGAGATGGAAAAAAAAAGTTAAGAGACAAGGAATAAATCCTAGCCCTCGTGAATAAAAATCTGCATTTTAACAAATCCCCGGTGATTCATGGGCACTTGAAAGATCTATAAGACTGCTTAAGGGATTTCCCTGGTGGCTCAGTGGTTAAGAATCCACCTGCCAATGCCGGGGATACGGTTCGATCCCTTGTCAGGGAAGATCCCACATGCCACGGAGCAACTAAGCCTGTGCGCCACAACTACTGAGCCTGCGCTCTAGAGCCCGTGAGCCACAACTACTGCGCCTAGGGCCCGTGCTCCACAAGAAGAGAAGCCACCGCAGTGAGAAGCCCATGCACTGCAACGAAGAGTAGCCCTCACTAGCCACAACTGGAGAAAGCCGGTGTGCAGCAACAAAGACCCAACACAGCCAAAAAAAAAAAAAAAAGACTGCTTAGGTAATTAGTCCCAGCTGGCAATGCTGAAACCAAAATACTTGGGCTGAGAAAAAAAATGTTCTTATTGAAGTTTCAAGAAGTCTGGGAGAAAAATCTGGAAACTTGAAAATCAAGTGGAACTCTTTACCAGATCATGTGTTAATTAATCAGAGGAGCACACATTCCCTAGCTTCTGTATATTTCAGTCTGTCCAAGTAGCTTTCTGATGCAAGAATAATAGTTCTTGTGAAACAAGAAAGAGGGATGAGTTTCCTCAGGCAGTTAGGTGTGAATGTATGGAAGTGGTGGTGGTGGTGGTGGTGGTGTGTGTGTGTGTGTGTGTGTGTGTGTGTAAGTAGATAAGGGTTGTGCCTCCTTTTGGCCTTGCTGATTGAGGTGTAGCTATCAGAGAACACATCAGGATTTACTTGTTTCTATCTCTTTCTAGACTGTGAGCACCTTAATAAGAAAAATGTTTTACTCTTCTTTGTATCTGTAAAGAATAGTACAGTGCCTAGAACATAGAAGCAGACATTTTGTTGTTGTTAAATGCTTGAGTAAATTATTTTCAAGTCTTTTTTTTTTTTAAGGTAGTAATTAACAAAACTCTTCTTTCATCTCCTATTGGATGTTTCTCTGAACAATGGTTCAGATTCCGGGAAGATGGGCACACAAAAACATTTGACAAGGGGTTTTGAAACACTGTTGAGAAGTGCCTAGGGCAATTTAGCAAAATAGATTTCCTTTTGAGTGCCAACTCCAAATGATTGGTAGTGGTTGCCTGGAGCTGTGCTGAGAAGGATTCTGAGGCTGCATTTGGCCTCAGCAGGAAACAGCACTATAATCAATTAGTGGTGGGTGCCAGGGGCAAGGGGGTGGGAGGTAGGATCCTGTGACCCGCATTTGCCCTGGGGAGAATCCTATCTACCAGCCATCTCTGGAGCCAATCAAGGATGGAGTTGGAGGGGGATGGGCAGTCAATGAGGAACAGTCCTTTCACAGAGATCTTAAATACTGGGTTACCAAGCTTTCAAAAGAGTACCTTTGTTTTGAGATGACAATGAGAAAGTCCTATTTGTACCAACGTGGACTTGGGGGCTTCTTAAACTGAACCACACCTCTTTATTCCAAATCCTAGAACTCAAGAGAGCCATAGCAGGACCAGCTGATCAGAAGACTCTCTGCTCCAGGGTATGTGAACTGGATTTCTGACCTCCCAAGATCTCTGTTGACAAGACAGGATTTCTCGAATCAATTTGTCACCGTTTATTATGGGTGTAGAACTGAGGACAATTACCAATTGATCAGGGCTTTCGACATCTTGCTCAGTTCCTCATTTCTTCCTCATTTTTATGAAACAGACCCGGCATCTGGGGCTGAGACAGTTTTCAGGAAGTTGCTCCCTGCCCCCCGCCATGTCCTGTCACCCTTGTCAGGCCATAGGGTGTTATTACACCATGGATTTTACATGGACAGTTATTTTACTTTATTTTTGCTTTTTTTTTAAGTGTTTCTATTTCCCAAGATATTTTAGAATCTCTGATATTTTTCATCAAGGCAAAGTCTTTCTACAGGCAAATACTGGCTTACTGACAAAGAATTAAAGGGTCTGATGGTGCTAGACAAGGGGCTTAAAGAATGGAATTGTGGAATCAGAGGGCTATAATGAAATGATAACATGGCCCTCTTTGGATGAATTGCTGTACTGGAAAAATCATGGACTTTGATATCTGACAGCTTTAGGTAGAACTTTGACTTTCTGTTTTAAAATGTATGAATTTGAGAAAGTTACTGTTTCTTCACCTGTAAAATGTAGGTACCTTAATACCTCCTTCACAGTGCAGAGGGTATAAGTGACATGAGCCATTAGTAATATCTAAGCAAGAAATGTGAGTTTCTCTTCCTTCTATTATCTAGTTTCATTGCACATGACGGGATGTTAGCAACCTTAATCTGAAAGGAGTCCAGAGGAACATCCCATTAATGTTTTAGCATTCAAACTCCCAATTAGGAAATTCTTCCTTACGCTAACTTGTTATCTAATCCAAATATTTCCTGTTTTAATTTATTCTGTAAAATGTGAAAAAAAACCTGATTCTTATGCTGATCAGGCTGCCCCCCCCCAAGGCTTAGATGTGGGGGCTGAAAACATAAAGCTCATGCAGGGTGGAGCCTAGTTGGTGCACTTTCTTTTGGTAGCAAGATCAACTACGTTTGTTTGCCGGGCTGGCGGAGGGAGGTGAAGTGCTTGATCCGGTCAGTAGCAGAGGAGACTTGCCTGTGATGCCCAGTTAAGGAAATCCTCCATGAAAAGATATGCCATGCAGACTTCAGCGCATGGTAGAGGTTATTACAAAGTCATCGTCACAAAGTTTGTAATAGTTAAGGATTTGGGAGCTGACAGGCGGGGTAATTGGAGCAGGTTATAATGTACCAAGAATCATTTTGGTTTTGGTGGCAGCAAAAATGCTAGTGAGACCAAACCAGTCACAACTAACTCCAGAGGGTCCATTATTTGCAGGAAATAAGTTCCCACAAGAAAGCCTCAGTGCCAGTAGGGTGACAATCACGAGCATTTCTATGTCTACTTCATTCCATGAACATCCAGAGACTCCAGCCTGTGGTCAAGATACTTGCTCGTAGCTGGTTCATGGTCCTGACAATAAAGGGAAGAAAATATCTGAAAATCAAGAGGGGTATCCCCTAGATTAGTTAATGAGGCCTCCTTTGGGGACCAAAACCAAACAGTAAACAAAACAAAACGAGAACAGAAGCGCGAAACCCAGAAAATAGAGAAAAAGAAAAATTAGCACGGGTGTATCAAGGCTATATGAAACTCTGGAGCTTCCTGGAAAGGAAATGATGTGAAATATTACCAGCAAATTACTAGGTGGAATCATTTTTTTTTCTTATTGGAGTATAATTGGTTTACAATGGTCTGTTAGTTTCTGCTTTATAACAAAGTGAATCAGTTATACATATACATATGTTCCCATATCTCTTCCTTCTTGTGTCTCCCTCCCTCCCACCCTCCCTATCCCACCCCTCCAGGCGGTCACAAAGCACGGAGCTGATATCCCTGTGCTATGCGGCTGCTTCCCACTAGCTATCTACCTTACGATTGGTAGTGTATATATGTCCATGCCTCTCTCTCGCTTTGTCACAGCTCACCCTTCCCCCTCTCCATATCCTCAAGTCTGTTCTCCAGTACGTCTGTGTCTTTATTCCTGTCTTACCCTTAGGTTCTTCATGACATTTTTTCCCCTTAAATTCCATATACATGTGTTAGCATACGGTATTTGTCTTTCTCTTTCTGACTTACTTCACTCTGTATGACAGACTCTAGGTCTATCCACCTCACTACAAATAGCTCAATTTCGTTTCTTTTTATGGCGGAGTAATATTCCATTGTATATATGTGCCACATCTTCTTTATCCATTCATCCGATGATGGACACTTAGGTTGTTTCCATCTCCTGGCTATTGTAAATAGAGCTGCAATGAACATTTTGGTACATGACTCTTTTTGAATTTTGGTTTTCTCAGGGTATATGCCCAGTAGTGGGATTGCTGGGTCGTATGGTAGTTCTATTTGTAGTTTTTTAAGGAACCTCCATACTGTTCTCCACAGTGGCTGTATCAATTTACATTCCCACCAACAGTGCAAGAGGGTTCCCTTTTCTCCACACCCTCTCCAGCATTTATTGTTTCTAGATTTTTTATGATGGCCATTCTAACTGGTGTGAGATGATATCTCATTGTAGTTTTGATTTGCATTTCTCTAATGATTAATGATGTTGAGCATTCTTTCATGTGTTTGTTGGCAGTCTGCATATCTTCTTTGGAGAAATGTCTATTTAGGTCTTCTGCCCATTTTTGGATTGGGTTGTTTGTATTTTTGTTATTGAGCTGCACGAGCTGCTTATAAATATTGGAGATTAATCCTTTGTCAGCTGCTGCATTTGCAAATATTTTCTCCCATTCTGAGGGTTGTCTTTTGGTCTTGTTTATGGTTTCCTTTGCTGTGCAAAAGCTTTTAAGTTTCATTAGGTCCCATTTGTTTATTTTTGTTTTTATTTCCATTTCTCTAGGGGGTAGGTCAAAAAGGATCTTGCTGTGATTTATGTCATAGAGTGTTCTGCCTATGTTTTCGGCTAAGAGTTTGATAGTTTCTGGCCTTACATTTAGGTCTTTAATCCATTTTGAGCTTATTTTTGTGTATGGTGTTAGGGAGTGATCTAATCTCATACTTTTACATGTAGCTGTCCAGTTTTCCCAGCACCACTTATTGAAGAGGCTGTCCTTTCTCCACTGTACATTCCTGCCTCCTTTATCAAAGATAAGGTGACCATATGTGCGTGGATTTATCTCTGCGCTTTCTATCCTGTTCCATTGATCTATCTTTCTGTTTTTGTGCCATTACCATACTATCTTGATTACTGTAGCTTTGTAGTATAGTCTGAAGTGAGGGAGCCTGATTCCTCCAGCTCTGTTTTTCGTTCTCAAGATTGCTTTGGCTATTCGGGGTCTTTTGTGTTTCCATACAAATTGTGAAACTTTTTGTTCTAGTTCTGTGAAAAATGCCAGTGGTACTTTGATAGCTATTGCATTGAATCTGTAGATTGCTTTGGGTAGTAGAGTCAGTTTCACAATGTTGATTCTTCCAATCCAAGAACATGGTATATCTCTCCATCTATTTGTATCATCTTTAATTTCTTTCATCAGTGTCTTATAATTTTCTGCATATTGGCCTTTTGTCTCCTTAGGTAGGTTTATTCCTAGATATTTTATTCTTTTTGTTGCAATGGTAAATGGGAGTGTTTTCTTGATTTCACTTTCAGATTTTTCATCATTAGTGTATAGAAATGCCAGAGATTTCTGTGCATTAATTTTGTATCCTGCTACTTTACCAAATTCATTGATTAGCTCTAGTTGTTTTCTGGTAGCATCTTTAGGATTCTCTATGTATAGTATCATTTCATCTGCAAACTGTGACAGCTTTACTTCTTTTTTTCCAATTTGGATTCCTTTTATTTCCTTTTCTTCTCTGATTGCTGTGGCTAAAACTTCGAAAACTATGTTGAATAAGAGTGGTGAGAGTGGGCAACCTTGTCTTGTTCCTGATCTTAGTGGAAATGCTTTCAGTTTTTCACCATTGAGGACGATGTTAGCTGTGGGTTTGTCATATATGGCCTTTATTATGTTGAGGAAAGTTCCCTCTATGCCTACTTTCTGCAGGGTTTTTATCATAAATGGGTGTTGAATTTTGTCAAAGCTTTCTCTACATCTATTGAGATGATCATATGGTTTTTCTCCTTCAATTTGTTAATATGGTGTATCACGTTGATTGATTTGCGTATATTGAAGAATCACTGCATTCCTGGAATAAACCCCACTTGGTCATGGTGTATGATCCGTTTAATGTGCTGTTGGATTCTGTTTGCTAGTATTTTGTTGAGGATTTTTGCATCTATGTTCATCAGTGATATTGGCCTGTAGTTTTCTTGCTTTGTGACATCTTTGTCTGGTTTTGGTATTAGGGTGATGGTGGCCTCATAGAATGAGTTTGGGAGTGTTCCTCCCTCTGCTATATTTTGGAAGAGCTTGAGAAGGATAGGTGTTAGCTCTTCTCTAAATGTTTGATAGAATTCGCCTGTGAAGCCATCTGGTCCTGGGCTTTTGTTTGTTGGAAGATTTTAATCACAGTTTCAATTTCAGTGCTTGTGATTGGTCTGTTCATATTTTCTATTTCTTCCTGATTCAGTCTTGGCAGGTTGTGCATTTCTAAGAATTTGTCCATTTCTTCCAGGTTGTCCATTTTATTGGCATAGAGTTGCTTGTAGTAATCTCCCATGATCTTTTGTATTTCTGCAGTATCAGTTGTAACTTCTCCTTTTTCATTTCTAATTCTATTGATTTGAGTCTTCTCCCTTTTTTTCTTGATGAGTCTGGCTAATGGTTTATCAATTTTGTTTATCTTCTCAAAGAACCAGCTTTTAGTTTTATTGATCTTCGCTATCGTTTCCTTCATTTCTTTTTCATTTATTTCTGATCTGATTTTTTTTTTTTTTTTGCGGTACGCAGGCCTCTCGCTGTTGTGGCCTCTCCCGTTGCAGAGCACAGGCTCCAGACGCGCAGGCTCAGCAGCCATGGCTCACGGGCCCAGCCGCTCCGCGGCATGTGGGATCTTC